AACATAAAACAGACTAAATGTGTTTAAGCCAGTTTAACAATGAGATTTTACTAAATAACAGAAAACAATATATAAAGCTAAAAAGTAGTTAGAATAGACCATTAAATACGATCACATTATAGTACAGTAAAAGAAAAATATTAAATGTAAAATATAAAAAAATATACAAAATACTTTCCCAAACAACATCTTTATACACGGCCTGCTAATATAAAACAATAAATGTCTTACCTTTAACTTTAAACCACAAGTATCGCCAAATATACTAGTAAGTACTAACTTTAAGTATAGGGAACCCTAATAGTATTTGAAAGACAAATTGACTTCTTTTTTATTAAAATTATAAAATACAGGGTGTTTCATTTAAACTTGCTGTGGTTTGAAATTTAAAGAAATGGCGTATCATTTGTGTAACACCCTGTATTTAGAAATTAGATTTTGATGTAAAATACTGAAAGAACGTTACGTACTTTTTGTGAGCAAAAGTTTTAAAAACAATATGATGAGTTATTAACTTTAAAAAGATTTACAGTATCTGTCAAAATTAAAAAAAAAAAAGATGAATAACTAAAAAATATGAAGCTTTGGCCTATGGTACCTTATACAAATTTTATCTGACGTCTTACGCAGAATTAAAAATTCCATAATATACAGGGTGTTCTATTTAAAATATCAAAGTTACTGTTCACTTCTGGTATAAGTTTAAGTGGTGTGTCTGTCAAAATATTTTCATTATGTTCGCCATAACTTGTTATCACCATAAACTAATTATCATAAATATCGTGTATAAAGTATTTTCTGATATATAGTGTAAGCTCGTCGTAAAACAGCCTTTATACCAACGCATAGGTTAAGAGCTACTTGTCGTTCTGAGAGAATGTATTCGATTGATTTATTTGTTTGAAAATATGTTGTTATAAACGACTATACAAAAAAATATGCAACATGGATTCCAGTACTGACCTTTATTACACTTATACTTTTTTAATGTAACCATGATTATCGTCCATGTTATAGGTATACGTATTTGACCTTAAAAATTGAGTGCTCTAATTGAAACTTTTAAAAAACGTGAGTTCGTATTTTTCCTGCCAGCCACGATCCGAGTTCACGTGTACGTCCGCTCCTGAGGACGTCTTTGATAAGGTATGGCGCAGTTGCGGACGAAACTTCTAGAATAAAATCCCGATACATACACAATAAAGACACAATTTGTGTTAAAAAAAACTATATTCAATATTATTTTATATTAGATTAAACCACAATTAATGATAATTACATTTTACATTTGTTATGACGTTTTTCCATTGCAGAAATCGTTGTCAAAAATGCTAAAATAAAATTATGAATGATCTTAACTGTAAATGTTTAAATATAAACACTATAGCCCAAACTGTAGAGAAAAAATGTGCCTTAATTATTAAATTTTTGAAACCAGCACACTGTTATGAAGGGCAATGCCTGGAGTAACCTCCAAGTGTTTACAACTCCAAAATGTTGGTTATAATTTTTGTATGACTTGTAACATGTACAATAATATGAAAGTACATAAAAAAGCTTTAATTTGAACTATGCTACATTAAATTTTACCCAATAGTTTATGCAAAATTAATGATTGAAGGTCTAAGAATGTCAATTATTCTTCATTTTAAGTTTTTGAAATTACTTTTGTAAAAAAATTTTTTTATGCAAAAATCATTATATTTTATCTCTTCTAAGTATAAATTGAATGAGACTTTGTAAGATCCGTTCGGTCAATGCGTTTTCGACTTAAGTTATAAAAGACACTTTTAACAATTAACAAAAAAGTTTTTTGTAAAAAAGATAGAGATCTAATTATAAACGGATTTTCTTGTTGGTCGAATATACTTTTATATAGGAATTACCCCTTATTGCTTTGAAATAGGGGCGACTTTTGCATTACAAATTAATTAAGCTACAGCGTTTCCTATAAGTTACGCACATTTTTAACTTATTGATTCTTATAGCTAAAGTCAAGACAACGATTTAAAAGTTTTCTTCGACCAGTGGAAGTTGAGTTAGCTTAATTTATGTAAATTGTAGTAGAGGTTGGGGCGATTGGGATACTCCCATTCACTTTCACTCTGACGTCGTTCAGCTCGATAAGGATGGTTGGATCGTGAAGGATATAATAAGTAATTGGGGTCAGAGGGTGAATTCTCAAAAAGACCTTAAGCTTGTAGTGCCTAAACGACTTAACAATACAGGACCGTGCTATATATCATATGACAGAACTTAGCGAATAGAATACGATGACAAAGAAACATCAAATATGGCAGCATACCAAAAGGGCTTAAGACACGTATCTTTACTACTATCGGGCTATGTAAGATGTATCTAATAGAATACCATGACAAGAAAAATTAAACATAGCAGCATGCCATAAAGACCTAAAGCTTATTTTAATTTAAATTAGCCTAAATGTTTTTTGAATACATAATAAGAAATTTAAGGATTAATTTGCAAAACTTGTTAAAATTAGGTTTTTGTACTTTACCACCTATTGGTTGTTTACATATTTAGGTTTAGCGATGTGTTCTCCATTACCACCTTTTTTAGCTATGTTCTTAGACAGCTTAGAACAGAAATTTGTTAACAACAACAAAATAGTTTTTGGTCTATATATGTTGATGATTGTAGAGTTCTCATACAGGGAACCCAAGAAGTTAAACTTCTTGGATATGCCTATATTTCGTAAAAAAGATTTTCTAACTCAACACAAAATGGCTGTTTTCAACAGTTACATTTATAGGCTTCTCAAATTTCCACTTTCTAATGGGAACTTCAATTTATAACTCGATACTCAAATTACTTTCAATAATGGGTATGATCCTAACATCATCCATAAGCTTTTAAATAGAGCAAAACTTAAAAGCTTGCTTATTCATCACAATACTTGCTTCAACCCAATTCCACAAATTACATCAGGTATTTCTCCTTTACTTATATAAGTAACATTTTCAAAAATATATCAAAACTTTTTACTTTTACAGTTGAATACATCAAAATGTCTTTCAATTCACACAAGGTTTCTTTTTAATTAACACCAAAGATATGATGAACACTCTTGACAAAAGGGCTGTTTATAAATTAAGATGTGATGATTGTGATGCCTCTTATGTAGCTGGAACCATTCGAAAATTATGTACTAGAATCACAGAACATTTGAACAGACCAAACTCTTCAAGTTTTGGTCACCATTTATTGTCCAGTAAATATAATTTTAATATTAATACTGGTTCATCTATTTTACATGACATTAGTAGAAAGAAAAACTACTTAGTTTGGATTGGAGTTGGATTTATTGTAAGATGTGGAGATAACAAAGGAAACAAATGAGAACTTTCACTGTTATAACACTCAAATTAATTTAAATTTTACTAAATTTGAACCGATTTTTTAAAATTTTCATCTCGTTGAACACTATGCCCAACTGTCTTCCTACACTGAGTATATCCATTAAGAGTTTTATTAATTTCATAATTTAATTAATATTAATATTTCATTCATCAATAACTTACAAAACAAGCTTGTTCATGATCAATTTTAATATACAACTGTGGACTATATTTCATATTTCAATTTCTTCTTTTCTGCAGCATTGGTCGTGCTTGGTAAACCTTTTTATTGTAGTCAACCAACCACTATCTAACAGATTGTTTAGTCTAGTTCTTACATTTACATTCTATGCTCGTTCAGTTGCCCCCAAATTAACACCTAAATTATCTCTGACAGGTTTGAGTGTTAAACCTGGATTATGCAATCTACATAAAGTAATTTATATAATTTCATATTTCATCAGTTCACTTCCTATATTAGTGGTCAATTGGCTTTTTGGTCAATGTTCAGTTTACCATAGAATTTTGAAATGTGCAGATGACCATGATTGTAACTGCTCATCCAAGTTGTGATAAGTCAGATGTAACTTTAACATCTCCGTTAAGACCAGGAGCCATTTTCTCTCCTGCTGTCACCCACAATGTAGCTTCTAAATTTTTGAAAAAAAATTTAAACTCATTTGTCTAGTGTTAGTTTTGTATAAATGTATTATTCAATGTTTATAACATTAATCGACGTGCTGGATAGCCTACATTTTCAATGAAGTAAGTCTAGAACGTTATACAAAAAATTTTTATCGAAGTTTTTTCTGCTCGGAAGTGCTGAGAGCGAAAGTACTTGGGCAAGATTTAATAAAAAAACTGTGCTCGATATCTGTCTTTTATTTGATTACACTATACTTATGTTTTTTAATATAAATAACGGATTTTTTAAATAAAAATTATATCCTTATAAATTATAAAGTCGTAAGAAACTTTTTTTACATCTTTGTCTTGACTTTAGCTATAAGAATCAATAAGTTAAAAATGTGTATAATGTGTGGGAACATACTTCAAAGCAATAAATAAGGGATTGAAACATTTTTAATCAAATATTTTTGCCATAAAAGTCTCATTCGATTTATAATTAAAAGAGCTGAAATATAATGATTTTTGCATAAAAAAATACTTTTTACAAAAGTTCCATAAAAAATTATAACCACCAATTTGGAGTTGCAAACACTAGGAGGTTACTCCAAGCATTTCCCTTGACAACGATGTGCTGGTTTCAAAAATTCACTAATTAATGCTCAAAATCATTCATTTTTGTCTCTACAGCTTGGTCTATTACAGGTTAAGATCATTCATAATCGGAAAATTTTTGAAAACATTTACCGGAAAAAATGTAAAACGTAGTTCTCATTACAGTCAATTGTGTTTTAATCTTATATAAACTATTATTTAAATTAAACCCGCCACAAGAAAACAGTTTCAGAACCATTTTAAAATTTCTGTGGGCTACGTAATATAGCTTGTTGTATAGTTTAGCTAACCATTTATCTGCTTTTAGTGGTGCTTTTTTAACGCTTCTTTACAATTTATTATATATTTATATAAATTAGATTGCTACATCCAAACTCTAACTGTTCTTATTTTTTACAGTGCTGCTGGTAGGCACCCTTATAGTTCCCCCAATCAACCACAACAACAGAAAAAATCAAAATCATTAAAAACTTTTGAAGAAGATCCTTCACCACCCCAGGCTGACAATTAGATTTATTCTTATCATCGTTAGATTATAGTATTACTAAAATATAGATATTTTACTAGATACATTTCAAGCTGTAATAACGTAAATAGTTCGTTTGAATTAAGGTGTTTTGTTGTTAATCATCCTAAAGTTACTCACTTTAATTTGGGGTTTTCCTTTAATCCTATTTACTGTGCCATGTAACTCGGATTTACTCAAGTTCAGAAAATAAAAATGGTATAATATGCTTCTAAAATTTATATTTTACCAAATTCATTTACTCAAAATTATTACACAGAAAGTAAAATATATTGAACAACTGCCGTAAGAAAAATTAATAAACCCATAATCAGGAGCAATGTCACGTGAAAGCTATAGAATATTAAAAATATGGAATTTTTCCTCCTTTCTGTTGGTCAATTAAAGATGATATTTTCAAGTCTTATATGTCTTTTTATAAGTCTTTTTATTTTAGAAATGCTTAAAATATTTACGTTATTATATTTGAAATATGTCTTCAGGCACATTCAATTTATTTTTGTAGAATGGTTGCCCTTTTGTTTTCTTTTTTTAAAATTTTTTTGATTTTTAATAGTTATTGTATTTGGTCGATTTCGTAGTATGGTAAATGAGAAGTGAACGCAACAGTGTAAGGTTATATTTTTTACTTTAAGATATTTACAGAGCAATTATCATTTTTAGATGATTTCGACGACTATATGTGTACGATCATCAGTTAGCACAAAATTTACTATTCAATGAATAACCTATTCAAATATAAATTGAGATTGCTTTGTGTGATATCTTTTATTATTCCAATTCGTAATTAAGTTTATATTTGCTTATGTATGCGAACGAGAAGAATTATGGAAAATAAAATTTTGTTCATGATAATTCTTCGATGGTCTTAACTATTCACAAAAATTAAGGTAAAAATGTTGGAAATAGAACCAAAATCAACATGTACTTATCACAAAAAAATTTAAATTTTAGTCATTTTTGTTTCTCTGCTGAACTAGTTTTATTACAGGTTCCCTCTATGCCACAACCTTTGTACATCAACTACACAGTCACATAAAATATATGTAGAATATATAATATAATCCATAACATTCTGTATTTGGATCTAACTTTTTCATTAGAATGTGTACATAGTGTTAAAAAACGCCGAACCAGATGAGAATTATCATATGACTGTACTAAAAGGTGTGGAAAACTGTAAAGTGCGCATGTTAAAATCTGTATTTGTTGTGATCAAAGCATTGAATCTGTATGTCTCAGCAATTTATCAAATTTAATGCTCATTTTTCCAACTTTCCATTTGTTGATACTGATATTATTCGCCAACATTCAATTTTAGGTTTAAACAAACAGCATTGTTGCTAAAAAGTGAGAATGTACATGTAGAAAATAGTTTTTTCATTGTTTATGCGGTGAGCACCTAAATGGGGATATTTTGTTAATGATTGTATAATGTATTGTGTGTTAATTTTAAGTACAATGAGGTTAATTCTCCACTATATCCATTAGATTAGTGTTATGTAATAAATCGTATATGTACCGATCTAGGTTTAAATAAAATATATTCCAGATATTCAGATTTTTATTTTAAGTTGTGGCTATTCTATGACCAGAATATTACAACACAGTCCCATTTTTTTTTTTTCAGGCGTCTATATGCTTAGAGAAAACATACTTCGTTATCTATAGAAATATATAAATAAAATAGAATTAAAAATCTTATGTGAACTTATTAAGGCTGTTTTATCGGTACACCAAAACCTAGAGACATTGTTTTCTCTGTTATTTACCGAGAATATGTCTCGAAATTTGGACACTTTATTCAAAATTATGTTACCTTTAAACTGATGGTTTTACTATTTTAATTTTTTTGAAATATCGGATTATGCAGTTTAACGTTCTATTATAACCAAACTTTTTACGCCCATCGCTTGAAAGAGTTTTTTTTTCTGTAATCGTTGATTTTTTTTCACCTTTCTGTGTCCAGTAATAATCGAGAAAAGCGTGTTACTCATCATTGGCAGTTTAGTTTAATCGTTATCGCCTTCGTGACGTCAAATCTCATGAACGTACGGTCAGTTAGTTTGATTTGAAATCTGCGAGAAATCTGAAAAACTGCGAAATTATTTTTTGCAGTCACGTTTCACAATTTTTTATTCAATACTATATTTAGCTAAGACATATACATTAATAATGTGATAATTCTTTTTAAAACATCTACGATAATCACTCAAAAAAGGTATTCCCGACAAAACTAATTTGAATGGAGAATAATGCATTTGTTGTCATTAAACTATTATTATGTTCTAATATGTTGAGTCCACAAACACTCAAGAATTGGCGTTGTGATATTTTTATTGTAATGGCAAATGGAAGACAAATCTGATATTGGCTTGGATTAAATTCGAATTGGGATCTTCGGAATGATAACTTTCTGATTTTTAGAAGCGAAGTAAAATAATGAGCCGAGCGTCACGGAACTAGCCTCACAACATAGCGGTTCTTCACATCGATTCACTAGTCTCGATCAATTCATTTCTAGTCATCAAATATTTATTCTAATTAGGTTTACATTAAAAACTACGGACTGGCATATAGAGATTATAGCTTTGTAAATTTTTGCAATTTATTACTGTAAATACCAGTTTTATTAGTATTTAATTACAAATAGTGATAAACATTCTGTACAGATTGGTGACATTTTCTTCATTACGGCATGCAACGTCTTCTGGACAACAAGCATTGCAATATTTATAAACAATTAGTTTTTATTATCAACCTACTGATAAAAAAGCAATTAATTCTGCCAAGACCTCTAGGCTTTTAGCAAACCAATATAGACAACACATTTTACAAAACGACTTTGTTATTTGCGGACATTCCAGGAGAAATATAAACATTAATCTAGATCACTTTTGACTACAAAATCAATAATGTTATGAATAATAAATCTACAGTCTATACCACAGCAATGCAATCCAGTAACACCGAATCTTCAACACCCACATCTTGTTGCTGCTATGAAATGTAGACCCAAGCCTTCCTTCCCCGTTTAATTTATTAATGTTTATATTTTGAGAACGATTTCCGAAGTGGAAATTGAAATGTCAATAAACTTATTTTAACCTTCAATTGTGGCTTGCACCCATTAAAATAGTCTAATTTAAAACGTCGCAAGAAAATAGCTTCAAAACAATAATAAGAAAAATATCTGTGAAAACATGTGCAAATAAGATCTTTCCTAGCAAAAGATAACAAAATTATTAGTGACCAATAAGGGTCAAATTCAAGTTACGATAAGTATTTACCAGACTTTAAGCTTTAGAAACAAAGCGCTGAAAAAACAAAGTTGGAGTACTATCCTTATGAGTATAACATACTGAATGTACCGATTACAATGCAAGAACTTAGGAATGCCCCAATGTCAACTAAAAATCCCACTCCATGCCTTGACGATATACCATTAATTTTTTTATTAAACCCACCGGAAAGTGGAATGTCTTTGCTATTAAAATTATACGATTTTATTTGGACAAATCGGGTCTTTCCCTCTGTATGGTCAAACAGCATTATAATTCCTCTGCCCAAACCCAACAAAGATAGAACACACATAGACTCGTACCGTCCTGTATCGCACACTAATGTATCATGCAAAGTTCTAGAAACAATTATATAAAAAAAGATTATTATGGTACTTGGAACCAGAAAAATATTTAATTACTCAGCAAAGGTGGCTTCCGTCAAAATAGATCATGCATAGGCAACTAGATTTAGATTCAAAGAGATACACGAAGGTTTTGCAAATAATCAAGAGATCATCGCAGTATTCTTCGTATTCCAAACTTAAAAGAAATTGGAATTGACTAATTATTTAGTAATGTTTTTTTTGTAATTTTACTGCCATCCTTTGATGTGAGGGATTTTGTGGCATAATTAACTATTTTTTTTTGACAATTTTAAATTAATTTCATGTACTCAAATGCTTATAATACCTCTTTAAAATCTTCTATTTTACAATTTATATATGCACAAAGTACAAAAATTAATTATTCTTATTTGTGGCTGCATCAACGCGATTTCATTACCGCTCGTATAACAGCTCTCTAATGAATAGTTTTAGGCATGCGCCTTGTCTAACGCTTCCTTTTATTTTAAATCGGTTGCGTGCCGGCAAATAAGTAACGGCTATAGTGGCGTCCTTTTGCTGTCTTTAATGTTCTGAATAATTAAATATATAGTGAAGTCGTTTTACCCTGTCGTATTTCGGATTAACGCCCGAAAAATAATTTATGACCAGTATAAAGCGACAAGCTTTATACTGGTTTTAGAAAGCATGGAATTGGTATTACAGAAGTAAAAAAAAAGACGAGCACTAAAAGTTTTGCACAAAGTTTGCTGTTTCTCAAAGTCACCTTTAATATCAATATCCTTTTGAACTGGGAATAAGCCACAATTAAAGATAAAAATACGTTTATTGACGTTTCAATTTCCACTTCCTCTTTCAATATTGGTAACCAGATCCTACTACATTCTGCCGAGGAATTTGCGACACAATTGGCTTCATTTAGCATAATTAGAACCGCTTCTTTGATTTTTCTTTTTTTACCATCCGTTTCTTTTAGGACTACATTTAAATTATTCCATTGAACCCTATGTTATTAATAAGAAAATACCAGTATTAGTAAGTCAGTAACATATAGAGGATACATCATTTATGTTTTTTAAATAACGTAACATATAAAATCAGAATTTTGATGTTTGTTTTTCTGACGGATATTCTCAAGTTAAAGTTGATTTCATGTAATCGAATGAACTATCTTATAAGTAAAGTCGTCCCAGGAGCGCAACTCAACAATATTGGCAATATCATTTTAAAGTCGTCTACTTTAAAATGCATAATGAATTGTCAACATAAAAATTGTCTGAAAAATGAGTCAGATAAAATTAAATTATTAGAAGAATTTTTCACTATGTAACAAAAAACAAAATTTGTTTAATTTACTGTTTGTATTTTGAGAACGATTTCCGATGTGGAAATTGAAACGTCAATAAACGTATTTTTATCTTTAATTGTGGCTTATTCCCAGTTTAACAATAATATACTTTTGCATTCGAATTAAACAATCGTTGAAACTTTTGTGCCAGCTGATGAATGTTTTCAAATTATAAACAAATAGAGTATATCGGTAACTATTAGCTTAAATTAAATTTTCATAACATAATAAAAATTTTCAAGATGTTTATAGCATACTAGTAACATTGATTGACGGGAGATCCAATCGATTGTCATCTACGTCAGTCATTAAATTTTTAAAATAATAAACTTTTTACATAATAATCCTATTAAGTATAAAGTATGTGTTGAGATGTAATTCTGACGTGACATAATGTTATTTTACTATAACGTGTATATATATATATATATATATATATATATATATATATATATATATATATATATATATATATATATATATAACACTGTTTTTGATGGGTTGGAGTCAATAAAAGGGGCTATTTGTTGACTATTTTTTACTCGAGCTTTCAATTGTGATTACAATTTTTATCAAGAGCTTCTAAAAAATACAAAATGTCTTACAAAGTTGAACTAGAAAAAAAATTGTTTATTTCTAGTTCAACTTTGTAAGACATTTTGTATTTTTTAGAAGCTCTTGATAAAAATTGTAATCACAATTGAAAGCTCGAGTAAAAAATAGTCAACAAATAGCCTCTTTTATTGACTCCAACCCATCAAAAACAGTGTTATATTTTTTCCAAA